CATCTGACAAACTGCAATGATATGAGTTTATTTCCATTTTTGAAACTTTATTACACAATACATGATAACAAGTTTACCATCAGTTTTACATAATCAACTAATAATGTTGTAAAGATGCAGGAAATGTCAACCAAACACTTTAACATGTCTTATTAGTTAAATAATGAGACTGTTAACATGCCTAAGAATTGAATCTGAGGAAATGTGAAACAAGACAGCACTGTTCTGACATGGGTTTATTTCCTTTTTTAACACTTTTTTTAACATAAAATAAACAGTTTACATAGTGTCTGTACATAAAAAGGCTGAGTGATGTCAATTGATCTTGACTTCAGTTTCATCTCATCATCATACATGTATGTGTAATACTCAAGCTGACACCAGGACAATTGGTGGCATACACACTGATAAAATAAAAATATTCCACTTACTGTGTTATCTCTTTTACACTTCTCATATTAATGCACCAAGGTGTAATTTAATAATTAACCACAAGATTATCAGCAGATAATATAGAAGTTCACAGTTCAAGGTCTAGCACTTCATTCGGACCTTATCAATTCAACACTGTGCATAATAGGGTACTGAGGGAGGAAGGGGTCTTCAGAGGATCACTTAGGATTATAAATGCCAAATATATGTACATGTATAGAGTTAACCATAAACATATGGTAATTACTCAATTTTTTTGATGGGGAAAATTGTGAATTTTTATAGATGCTGCATTTTTCAAAGTAATAATTTCTTAAAATTAGAATATTTCAATTGTGAAGTAGCCAGTAGGGCACAGGAGTGAGATATGAAGTTCACAGGATTCTGTGAGATTTTGTCATTTTCAGAGACATGTAACATATTGCCGAATGTTCGGGCTATCTAATGAACAGTGACTATAGCTGTCCACATGGTTTTCTGCTTTGTTTTTTTAGTGTAGTCACTGAAGAAGCAGGGAAAAGTATTGACTTTTTCGGCTCCCTGTGAATAAGCTCAAACAAAGCAAATGGGAAAGACTGTGTCAGTAGGTTTTGACAATCATAATATTGAACTAAAGACGTGCAAAGATGTGTTGTCAATGGAAGTTGGTATGTTAATTTGCACACATGCAAATTAAACTTCCGTGGCCTGTTAGGGTACAAGTAGACAAACAGCTGGTCACACAGGTGCATGACAATAGTCTGAACATTCAATAGTCAGAAGATCCTAATGTTCCTAATGTTCACTATAAAACTTTCAGACCAACAAACCGTTTTATTAAACAACTGATAAAATGTTACGATTTTTCAGACCAATAAACTTTGCACCAAAGTACATTCCGATCAGTGAACCTTCGGACTATCGAAATATTACCGGTCATACAGTCATCGTAATTTACTTCTGCATGGTATTAGTACAAGCAAATTAACACTTTTGGGCAGTTTGGTGTTTTTATCCAACCGTCTGAAAACTCACCCTTCTAATGCTTCTTCATAAACATCATCCTCATCGCCTGAGCTCGTCGCAGAAACATAGCCCGGAATACGTTGTTTAGCTCGGAGGATTGAACCACCGGTTGTAGATCTACCGGTAGCACCGACGCTGGCGGTTGCTCCGTCTATTTTTTCTTGAAGACGTTTGATTTCATCTCTTAAATTATTTACCGAGCAAGTTAGCTGATTCAGTTCTGAGTTAACATTTCTAGTTAATCTGTAATATAGAATGAGTGTCGTGGCCCCAATTGTTATCCCGGATATAGACAAAATCACCGATGAATTCTCTCCCAGAAGAACAGACATACTCACGACACTGTGGCCTCACTTTACTTGAGTGGCGTAACTAAACATGACCTTGTTTTTACTCAAAGGTCATTCAAAAGTTCCTTTGAGCCGCTTATACAGTAATAAATAAAAATACAGCATAGTTGATTAAGGAATTTAGCGGACGCTGTGGGCGATTTTTCTGATATTATTACTTTATATAGTTTTTTTTGACAACTAGTTTGCCTTATTCAGGAACTTGATCCTCCATGATTTTAATGCTATAAGAGATAAGGAAATGTAGAACAAACCTTCTTACGCTTGCCACAATGCCATTTGTTATCATATCCACTCAAATTAGATTGGTAAGGTAGCAACTGATTGATGCACATAATTGTAACTTGCATTTAAAATTTAAATGGTTTTTATTTACTGGGAATTTTTTTCTGTGAGAAATGCAAGGGGTAGGGTAGGGTGGGTCGGGTACATACCGGTACATGTATATGCTTCTTCAAGTTATAGTACTTGTACATGTACTGTACGTACTTGTACCAGTAAACTCAGGACCCTTTTACTGGGGAGCATGCAGCGGGGGATTTAGTTTCTGAAAGTTTGTTTGGTTTCTGAAAAATATATCACACCAATATTCCGATGTTGAAATTAGAATTTTGACTACCTAAACTGTACCAAAGGGCACCCTTTGCCCTCCAAAACACCAAAAATTTTCCGGGGCCCTTGACCAGGCAGATGGTTGGCTTAGGATCCGAGGCCTGTCATTCTGGACCCCCCATCTGGATCCGCCCCTGGCATGCACATGCATGTGTTCATATGTCATGCTGTTCAACAATTTGTCAACATTCTACAGGAACATATTTTGTGAATCATGGTAGACTTCAGTTGTCGTATTGAAAATTTTAGAGTTGAGGAGCATAAAGGTGTTGGAAATGTTGAACTACCATGCAGTAAACAAATGGCAGTCAGGGGCGGATCCAGAGATATTTTCTGACAGTCTTCCAAATTATCTTTATTGATCCATCCTCCATTTTTGACTGTCTTCCAACAGGAAAAAATAGATACCTGTCAATGTAAACTTGAAAATCTGACCATCTTCCAGAAGACCCAGAAGACGGCCTAAATCTGCCCCTGGCAGTGACAGTTTATAATTATTTGCATCACATCTACTCAGTACTAGTAATTGGCATTTTACATTTTTGTACAAAAAAATTTCCGATAAATAGTTTTCTTTCTTTTAGTTTTTTTTTTTATTTTCTAGGAAAAAGGACCAACAGTTGTAGGGGATGCAGATAGTGATCCAGAACTTATGAAGTTTCTGGGAGCAGAGCTTGTGCAGCAACTAGGAAATGATTTGTAAGTGCTTTATGTTAATGCATACCCAATAATGAAAATATTAATGCTTCCCATTGTAAGATTGTCCTGTGAAAATTTTATAATTTATCAATTTTTGGGGTTATATGGTATTTTTCTCAGACTAAACAAAATTTTGATTTTTGACACCCTGACACAACTAAGCAACATTCTCGGGAAATTACTTAATCAATAACCCATGCTAAAGTGTTTTTTTTTTGTGTGCTTAAAACATGCTTAAAATTGTAAGAATTTTTACTCAGAATTTGATTTTTAGCAACTTCGGCTTTCTTAAACCAAATGTGTGACTTCTTATAGCATGACTTATGTTCATATACATCCAAGTATATTTAGTTGTAAGATTATTAGGTCCTGCACCCTAAACAAAAGAAGATGTGTGGTTTTACTTCACTTTGTACTGTAGTTTATATGAGCGCAGACAATAGTTAATAAATAAAATGTAAAATAGTTTATTTGTAAATTATTTGTTTTTGTCAGTTATATTTTTTACCTGATATTTGGGCAAATTATGACAATTTGGACTGTTATCCGTACAATTATAGTGCTTTACCATTTTCAGCTCCCAGTATGAAGTATCATGTAGTCCAAGAGTAGTTTTAAACCAACTGGAGAAGAAAGGATATAAAGTTTTGGGTATGACAGGAATAGGGCAGACTTGCATATGGACTCTTCACCTGCCTTTGGAACAGTCCACGCAAAATGATGGAGACTTTTGAATTGTGTAGGCATGTACAAAAAATGTAAATGCACTGTATGAAGCTTGGGAAGTTGACTTATAGTTATACATATCAAACCATAAATTTATACCATAAATTCATTGTATGTTAAAAATGAGATGCATCATTTGTTTAAAGGGTATGGAGGCTATTGATAAGTGCGAGAATAAAGAGATTTTTGTTATTGATAATCAACGCAATTATTACATTAATAAAATTCAAGAATTGTTCAAGAAAATATGTTCAGATGCAAGGCATAAACAGAGTTTACATTGGGCTGCTGCTTTGAACATTAACGTGAGCTTCAGAGGTGTAGAAGAAGCTTTCATTTAAGCCTTTTTTATATTCTTAATCAAACTTTATATACTAGTAAAACAACAGGGTTTGTGAATGTTATCTGAAGAACAGTTAGCAACGGATTGTTGTGAGTTATTTATCATTCCAAACCATGAAACAACACTACATATAACCTCACCTGCTCAAGGTCATACCATAGATCATCCAATATATCTTGTGACATGCAACTTCTGGAATTCCATGGGAATTACAAATATACACAATAAATATTCAGTATTGCAAGCAGTATCAGGACATGTTCAATACCCAGTAGGCTTAAACACCTTAAACACTTGTAGTCAAGTAAAAGAATGACTTAGGTTGGAAAAAATGTTAACGAAGGTTTCTCAACTGAATCCGGTCCAGTTTTGGGTCAATATAACCCAGATAATTTCCCACTGAAATCCAACCATGACCTTGACCTCTGATGATAAAAAAAAACTATTGTCCTTTAATTCCATGACTCTAATCTTGCACATTATTAAGAGGTTTGACCATCAGTGAATTTCTACAGTAGTTTGAGTGAATTGTTATTGGATCTGAAATGTCACTTTTGTATATGTTTGGATGCATATTTGACCTTGTCATACTTAATTTTACCCTTGGTCAGTTAAATGCAACATTCACAAAGGAGGCCTCTTGTGTGCAGTTTTTAATATGAGCTATAGAAATCATAAAAGTCACTTTTGAAAGAATAAAGAAAGTTGGTGCTATATTTTAAGCTATATTGGTCCTTTTTTTTAGATTGACCTTGACATTTAGGCATGATCTTGACCACTGATGACTTCCAAACATTTTTCAAATGAATGTCCATGCCTTTGAACATTAGAGATGATACCTCTCACAGTTTCTAAGTGACCCAGTTCCGTTGATATGCCCACTAAACACCCTCCCCTATGCACTGACGGCCATTTTGGATTTTTGGCACTTTGCCAAGGGTGGATTCTGATGGGAAATTATCTGGGTTATATTGGCTTAAAACTGAACCGGAATCAGTTGAGAAACCTTTGTTAACTTTTTTTCCAACTTCAGTGGGGAAATTTCGTTCGTTTACTGGACTATTGAAAGAAAAAAGCAGGCATGATTGAGGCATCAAACCAAGTACATGTTTCATACAAGTAGCAGATATATATTCAAATGTAGCTCTGAAATGAGGCTATGCAAGAGGATGAGATCTTTCTGCCAGACTGGAATTTTCCTTGGGGGGAAAAGGCAATTTTCTCCTACTGATAAATTGTTGCTTTACTGGTCCACGAATGCCGCACGAAAAGGGACATATGGGCAGTATACATTGTACGGACGGGCATTGTACCCTAATCGCGTGACCTTAACTGGTCAAATATCAATCAACATATATAAATTATGTTTGTCAAGTTACTTTACTAAAGCGATCATGATCATGTAGTACGTGAAATGGAGGAGATATAAATAAACCAGATGGTCATTGTTGCCCTGAAGGAAGGACAGTCATCAAAGAAGCCATGAACCTGGTGGGTCCCCCACTGATTGGCACAACACAGAAGAAAGAGAGAGAATATTCGTTCTTTAATTACCGAAAATGGATCGGTTCAAGAATTTAGAAAAAAAAAAAAAAAAAAAAAAAACATGGAGGCGGGTATGACACCGCTGGTACTCAGATGTCCTGCCTCTGTTGAAAAATACGGTCCCCTTTGAGAATAAAAAAAAAATTTACGTTCCTATCACTGGCCGATCTTTGAGCATTCATTCTGCAACCAAAGCGATGCTTGTGCCTCCTTTCGGTGCAGTTTCATGGTTGCACAAAGGACGCAGAAAGGACGCCGTCCAGTATAAAGGGGGTTTTAGCGATCACCGTGCTTCCTTTGAGTGTCCAACAGCGACCTGTCCAGTTTCATGGTCGCGCAAAGTACGGAGAAATAACGTCATCCACTGTAAAGGGGGTTTAAGAATGTTTTATCGCGGGTCCTATATTTTACAGCGATCTATCTTTGTGGGGAGTCTCACTAGATAACTGTCAGCTTAGCCTGCTTAAGCGTCTGCCCCGCCTACTAAAAGGTGTAAGGGGGTAATTAACTATGGTGCGCGCCCGGCTGACTGCAATTTGGCGTGAACCCCCAGGGAGTTAGGTCGATCTAAATCTCAATCTCTGGATCGATCTAAATCTCTGGGAATGCACTCTTAGACAAGCCAACAATTTAAAAGGGGGGTCTTTTTAAGAAAAAGTGGAGCTTTTACCATAAACTCTCCGTTTACCTATATATAAAAGTTTACCCAGAGGGCAGCTTTTCCCAGCAAGAAGTGGAGTTCGACTCCCCCCCCTCTCCCCCCCGGCTTTGAGCCTGAAGATAAACGAGGCAAAATTCTGTTCTTAGTCAGTATTGTGGGCACCAAAAGTTCTTTTAAAGTTTGGTGTTATTGCAATTCCCCTGTTGTTACGAAAATTGTTTTTTCTGGATTGACAAATGGTAAAAGAAACTACGATGTAAAAAGATATAGAACCAACCAATCCAGGACAGACACATCCCAAATCACACAATAATACCTCAGAGCTAATGCACATTCCTAATTATAGTTTTATCGAACCTCGATGTCTCAAGTTCTTATAACTCTAATGGTCTAGGAGTAGGTAGCAGAAACTACGATGTAAAAAAAAAAAAGATAAATAAAGAGTAAACCATCTCCAGGGTCAGACACACCCCATGTCACACTTGAATTCGGAAGGGCCCTTACGATAGGTTTGTCAATCCCCAACGTTTCAAGTTCCTAATGGTCCGAATTTTTTCTTTTTTCTGTTGTCTATGGTAATATATACTATAATTAATCAACAAGAGTCCAGAGTCCGGTTAAACAGTGTTTCATTTTTTTTCCTATGTAATTTTTCAAACATATACTTGAAGGATCCTAGACACGGTGATAAGATAAAACTGTGTTTTTATCTGAGTTTTTTCAGTGATTTTTGAATAGCCGTGAGAAATAAGTAACATTATAATTATCTCTAAGTACTGATGTTGTTGCTATTACTATTCAAAGTGACGGGCGTGAACTTTCTGTGGCTGACGCCACTGTTCATTCCGACAGACTTCCTTAAGGGTATTGTAGGCCTTTATTATCATCCAGATACCGAAAATGAGTTTTTTCTTGCATCTAATTATCCAATATATTTGTGCTGATTTAAAACAATAAAAATCCCCTCGAAAATATTAAATATCGGCGTTTAGGCCTATATTCCTCGTTGCAATGCATACCGGTAGGCAACTCGAAGCTTTAATCGTCAATTTAAATTTAAGGGGAGTAATGGCGAGAAGTTTGGACGAAAAAAAAAATGCTGCGCTTTTTTTTCTTTAAGTGATCTTAAAAACCTATACCTCGACCTTTATTTTCTCAACGGTTTCGTGTGAGACATGCTTTGGGGTTCAGGATCAAATAGGCAAAGTTTCAGAGAAAGGCCTATTTAAGCGTCCTCAGCGGAAAGAGCCTTAAAGGAATTGCGTCAGGCCGTCAAAATGACTTGAACTTCTTGTACATAATCTTCAGAAAACATGTCCAACTAAAGATATCTTTATCAAAATATACAAATCTCTCTCTCTCTCTCTCTCTCTCTCTCTCTCTCTCTCTGTGTGTGTGTGTGTGTGTGTGTGTGGGTATTTGTTAAGTAGCCTAATTGGAACATCATGTTTTATCCTAGGATTTAATTTTTGAATTTTTGTGTTATGAGATTTGCGTGTTGTTATGTAGTGATTTTTGTGTTGTGAGGTTCGTGTGTGTTTTTGTGTCGCTGTTTTTATTTTTGTGTTGTGGCTCTTACACTCTTCCGTACACTAGGCCTACTTTTCTTGTCACATAAAACGACTACAGCGCCACCTTTTTAAGAGAGGAGGTCCCGGATGCAGGGAGAAGGTCAGAATGTCCCGGATGTGGTAGCCATTGCTAGTGTTGTGTACTGAGGTGGTAATAGATCAACCCTCTCTGAAGGTGTTAGGTTAGTATGTAATACCGTCACATTTGAAAAAGAAACATTAATGATACTGAACAAGCGTATTTTTTATGTCTCCCGAGTTGACAGACCCTATATCTGAAGAGTAAACATTGCTAACGTGAATAGGACCAGGCCGCTTCAATTTTAATTTTTATGAATTTGTGCACGAATTATGAACTTAAAGTCACTGATGATTGATGTTTTACTTAATGTTGACATTCGTACACAGTTATCTGTGTAACTTGCACAATTAGGTTTATCAAGTTACTGTTATAGTCTTCTGACACGCATCCAAAATTGGGATGCAAAGCGTTGGCAGTACATGTAGTTTAACTCAATTACTGGAAAATAGAACTGATAATTCATAGGTCCCACTCAGAATAGGGGACTAACAAGTCCGAGGGTCCAATGTGGACCCACTTGAGTACTTCCCCACGGGATATCCATTCAGTGTCTATTATTGGATCAGACAGCAAGCTTTGTAGTGGGTTGCCATATTTGAGCCTTGGACTATTCTGAATGGGCCCATAGGCAGGACAACAAGCCTCACACTAGTTTTACTCTCTCTTCAAGGGGGTTAAACTCCCAAGGAGAAGGAACGTTGGCTGGATGTTATTTTTTTTAAATATAATACAGCTGCTTTTTTTCAAAAAGAATGAAGAAATAAAAAAAAAATTGTATTTTTAGATTCCCAAAAAAGAATAAAAAATGGCTGATCAAATAAAGAAGCCAGCCATTGTAGGAAAATACAAACCTGCCACAGCAACGCCTGGGATTTGGAAATCACCCACTACACTAAATACTCCCCAAAGTATCCCAGCAAGAATTATAACCAGTCCATGGAAGAAATTTTTTTGGGACTTTGGAAAGTATCCAGCCGTTGTGATTGCAGTCTTAACGCCTTTAATGTTCTGGCCCATCGCAAGGGGATGTAAGTTTTGTTGTGTATTTTTTTAACATTTGAAATGTTTGGCAGAAATTGGAATCAACATTAAGATGTATTTAATATTTGTGTAATTCTTAGTTGCAGTAATCTCTGGAAACATTCCATATTCTTCCCTCGTACAAAAGTGATTCAACTTGAACTTGCTTATTTATTTATTAATTCTATACGTAGTAACCACATGTTCATGTATTATGAAGGTTAAATGATTTATGTAAAATGAGCCAATAATTATAATAATATGATAATTACGAAAACATTTGATCAAAGTGTAATTTCATTTATATAATCATTATGATTGTAATTTCAATTTATGAAACTTGCCTTCCTTTTTATTCATAGTTAATAGCATAGGAAATAAGAGGGAGTGGAAGAGACTTGGTATTGAATGGAAGCGTAAGTACAAAGATGTATATTCTTTTATAAAAAGAAATGGGAAATTAATCTATACAGTCAAGTAGTTCATTGTTTATATGATTATAACATGAATTCCACTTAAAATTGCACCACCAGCGTGAGTGCTGGGGGAACACATGGTTTTACCCTTAACCTGTCTCATCCACTGAATGACGGCAGATAAAATTCACAGATAAGGCCCTGTCACACTTATTCAGAATCAGCAGTAATCAAGCAGAATGAGCTGGAATGAAGAATGTTAAAAAATCGGGCCACATTTGGGAGGAAATTTTAAAATGACCTTAATCCTGTAAGAAAACCGTTGGAATACTCAGAATGCGCTTCCAACCTGCCTGGAATGATTCATGCACATTCCGAGTGTATTACCTCCCAAATGCAGTTGGAACACATTAGGAATTTCGATAATGCTCTCAGGATGCAATCAGAATTTTTAGAATGCAATTCGAATGCCATACAAGTGTGGTTCGATTGCTGGCCCAAATAGGAATTCGAGATGCATTCAAGTTGCATTCCGGCTCATTTGAGCCACATGCGGAATAATCTGGCAGGATTTGAAGTGTCTTGCCATTTCGGTTCTCCCTCAGATGCGAACATAATGTTTCGAATGCTGTAAGAATATTAAGAATGCACTCATATTGCAGTTAGAATACACTTCGAATGCCATGATTCTATATTTTCCCATTTGGGATGCACTTCAAACGTTTTGAGCATGAGCAAAACATTTGGACTGGACATAAGAATGGGCCTGTGTATTTGGAATGCACTTAGAACTTCTAGAATGCACTTAAAATTTCCAGGATTATACAAAGAATTTTCATTCCGACGACATTCTGCCTCTAGTGTAACTAGGGTATTACCACATCTTCTTGTAGACTATAAGGACCTGTGTCATTTTTATGTACAGACACAGATATGTCTGTACGTGTAGACGTCACCTGCGTCTGTCTTTGCTGCTGTCACTGTCACCATTGCCATTCACTTTCACCACTGAAACGATGAGTGGAAAAACATTTTACCTTTTGGCTTGAAACTTACAGAACTGTTGAATATACATAAAATGCAGGTTGGGGTCGAAAATCAGCATGATCAGGCCATTTTTTTCAAAGGTTATGCTGGTTTTTATTTATTTATTTTTTTTATTTATTTATTTATTTTTTTGCATATTTTATCCACCATTATGCAGATAACATGAATTCCATGTAATATTATGCATAAAAACTTTTAGGACTGATTCATAGGACTAATATATGGATCAAGTACCAAAATTAACTTTTTTGGTTCAGTTTTGATGAAGTGAAGCCTTTTTTGTACATGAGTGGTTTTTCCTCAGATTTAATTCTTTGGCATGTTAACAGTGTCACTATTGAACTAATTAGATATGTAAAAGTGTTCTTTTGACATTTTCTGCATCGTAACAATATTGTTGGTAAACCTGTTTTTTTTTGTATTGTGTAATAAAGTATCAAAAATGGAAATAAAGTAAAATCAGTGCATTTTGTCAGATTCAATCCCTCACTATGTTCTAATCTCAGAATGTAGCAAATTAGACACTTAAAATTGTTTTATTGATATTTTCCCCATCTAAACATTTTTTTAGGTTGATCATTTAAAAATGANCAGTATACACAATAAATATTCAGTATTGCAAGCAGTATCAGGACATGTTCAATACCCAGTAGGCTTAAACACCTTAAACACTTGTAGTCAAGTAAAAGAATGACTTAGGTTGGAAAAAATGTTAACGAAGGTTTCTCAACTGAATCCGGTCCAGTTTTGGGTCAATATAACCCAGATAATTTCCCACTGAAATCCAACCATGACCTTGACCTCTGATGATAAAAAAAAACTATTGTCCTTTTATTCCATGACTTTAATCTTGCACATTATTAAGAGGTTTGACCATCAGTGAATTTCTACAGTAGTTTGAGTGAATTGTTATTGGATCTGAAATGTCACTTTTGTATATGTTTGGATGCATATTTGACCTTGTCATACTTAATTTTACCCTTGGTCAGTTAAATGCAACATTCACAAAGGAGGCCTCTTGTGTGCAGTTTTTAATATGAGCTATAGAAATCATAAAAGTCACTTTTGAAAGAATAAAGAAAAATGATGCAATATTTTAAGCTATATTTGTCCTTTTTTTTAGATTGACCTTGACATTTAGGCATGATCTTGACCACTGATGACTTCCAAACATTTTTCAAATGAATGGCCATGCCTTTGAACATTAGAGATGATACCTCTCACAGTTTCTAAGTGACCCAGTTCCCATGATATGCCCACTAAACACCCTCCCCTATGCACTGACGGCCATTTTGGATTTTTGGCACTTTGCCAAGGGTGGATTCTGATGGGAAATTATCTGGGTTATATTGGCCCAAAACTGAACCGGAATCAGTTGAGAAACCTTTGTTAACTTTTTTTCCAACTTCAGTGGGGAAATTTCGTTCGTTTACTGGACTATTGAAAGAAAAAAGCAGGCATGATTGAGGCATCAAACCAAGTACATGTTTCATACAAGTAGCAGATATATATTCAAATGTAGCTCTGAAATGAGGCTATGCAAGAGGATGAGATCTTTCTGCCAGACTGGAATTTTCCTTGGGGGGAAAAGGCAATTTTCTCCTACTGATAAATTGTTGCTTTACTGGTCCACGAATGCCACACGAAAAGGGACATACCGTTATGGGCAGTATACGGACGGGCATTGTACCCTAATCGCGTGACCTTAACTGGTCAAATATCAATCAACATATAAATTATGTTTGTCAAGTTACTTTACTAAAGCAATCATGATTATGTAGTACGTGAAATGGAGGAGATATAAATAAGCCAGATGGTCATTGTTGCCCTTATAAGGACAGTCATCAAAGAAGCCATGAACCTGGTGGGTCCCCCACTTATTGGCACAACACAGAAGAGAGAGAGAGAGAATATTCGTTCTTTAATTACCGAAAATGGATCAGTTAAAGAATTAAGAAAAAAAAAAAAACATGGAGGCGGGTATGACACCGCTGGTACTCCGATGTCCTGCCTCTGTTGAAAAATACGGTTCCCTTTGAGAATAAAAAAACATTTACGTTCTGATCACTGGCCGATCTTTGAGCATTCATTCTGCAACCAAAGCGATGCTTGTGCCTCCTTTCGGTGCAGTTTCATGGTTGCACAAAGGACGCAGAAAGGACGCCGTCCAGTATAAAGGGGGTTTTAGCGATCACCGTGCTTCCTTTGAGTGTCCAACAGCGACCTGTCCAGTTTCATGGTCGCGCAAAGTACGGAGAAATAACGTCATCCAGTGTAAAGGGGGTTTAAGAATGTTTTATCGCGGGTCCTAGATTTTAGATCGATCTATCCCTGTGGGGAGTCTCACTAGATAACTGTCAGCTTAGCCGGCTTAAGCGTCTGCCCCGCCTACTAAAAGATGTAAGGGGGTAATTAACTATGGTGCGCGCTCGGCTGACTGCAATTTAGCGTGAACCCCCAGGGAGTTAGGTCGATCTAAATCTAAATCTCTGGATCGATCTAAATCTCTGGGAATGCACTCTTAACACCCCATTTCCATAGATTAGATCGACCTACTTTGGATCGACCTAACTCCCTGGGGGTTCGCGCTGAATAGCTGTCAGCCGGGCGGACACGCAAGTTAATTGCCCCTTACGGCTTGTAGTGGGCGGGAACGGACACTTAAGGGGGATTATCTGACGGTAGTCTGGTGAGACTCCCCGCTGTGATAGATCGATCTAAAGTTGTGGGAATAGACCCTAATGGTCCGAATTTTTATGTACAGACACATCTATAGCCATCACCTGCGTCTGTCGTCGTCGCCGTGCACTTTCACCGATAACACGATAGGTGAAAAACCGTTTTACCTTTTGGCTTGAAACTTACAGAACTGATGAATATTTATAATCCGCAGGTCAAGTTCGAAAAACAGCATGATTAGGCCATTTTGATGGAAGTTATGCTGTTTGTTCCCTTTTTTCAACATATACGCAACACTGATAACACAATATAAGAAAAACAGATAGGCCAATTGTCATTATACTCACAGGAGTAGTCAAACTAACTAAAATGCAGGTTGAGTTCGAAAATCAGCATAATCGGGCCTTTATTTTAGAAGTTATGCTGTTTTATCACATTTCCTCAGATTCAATTCTTAGGCATGTTAACAGTCTCATTATTTAACTAATAAGATACATAAAAGTGTTTGTTTGATATTTGCTGCATCTTTACAACATTTTAAATTGATTATGTAAAAAATTGGTGGTAAACTTGTTATCGTGTATTGTGTAATATAGTGTCAAAAATGGAAATAAACTAATATCATTGCAGTTTGTCAGATTCAATCATCCACTATGTTCAGAATCTCAGAATGGAGGAAATTGGACATTTAACACTGTTCTATTGATATTTTTCCCATNGGGCACTGCTCCTATGATGACCATTTAAGGGAAATCATGTCACTTACTGTTCTCAAACTTACAGGAAAGAAACATGGGTCTAACATACAGCTTCAATAGGCAACGCAGTCTGTTTGGTAAATTTTTCTGGCAATTTAACAGTTTTTTGTGAAAATTTAATTTTTCACTTATTTGCATCTTTATTTTCTGTTCTTTGTCTGTACATTTGACAGCTTTGCTGCCTTGTTGTGTTGTGAGGTTCGTGTGTGTTTTTGTGTCGCTGTTTTTATTTTTGTGTTGTGGCTCTTACACTCTTCCGTACACTACTTTTCTTGTCACATAGAACGACTACAGCGCCACCTTTTTAAAAGAGGATGCACGGAGAAGGTCAGAATGTCCCGGATGTGGTAGCCATTGCTAGTGTTGTGACCGAGGTGGTAATAGATCAACCCTCTCTGAAGGTGTTAGGTTAGTATGTAATACCGTCACATTTGAAAAAGAAACATTAATGATACTGAACAAGCCTATTTTTTTATGTCTCCCGAGTTGACAGACCCTATATCTGAAGAGTAAACATTGCTAACGTGAATACTCGGACCAGGCCGCTTCAATTTTAATTTTTATGAATTTG